CAACTTGTAATTCCCAATTCTTAATTTCTTATTATTCTTACTTTTCTCCCACTTGGATTTATTGGCAAATGTTGTCTTTGTAGAGTCTAACACTGAACTGCTCAAGTTTATGAACGAATGGTGCATGATTATAATTGTTCTCTCCTTTGTGAAATTGTAATTTACTTAAGTGCTTAATGTATGGGTTTTTTGGAATTCGGATAATAATTCTTATTTCAGTACTGTTTGAGGCAGTTTCAAATGAAGTTATTCAACTACAAAAAAAATTATGTTGGTCAGTGATAAACCATTGATTGGAGTGTTTTTAACTGCACTTCGGTGCCAAGAAGAGTTTGGTCCAGGTGCCTTATGCCAAGTTATTGATGACGGCTTGCGTTTTTCAGGTTGGACAATTGAGAGAGGTATCAAATAAAACAAACAATGCAGAGCTAAAGCTGTTTTTGGAAGTAGCATTTGGGCTGGTAACCAGTCTTACTCTATTCTTGTTACTACCTGTGTAGTGAGGCTTATTGCAGTTCTAATTGTGTATGAAAGGGATCTTTTCTTCCATTTTATTATTCTATAAATTCTCCAGGATCTACGTCCTATTCCTCCGCTTGACAAAACCAAGGAAGATATTCTTCTTTTCTTTAAGCTTTATGAGCCTGAGAAACGAGAACTACGGTACCTCCTGCCCTTTCTGCTTAGCTAAATTTTTTTTTTCTGTTGACTTTTGTTTGCTAACTTAAGTTTCTTTTCTGTTTCCAGTTTTGTTGGTAGGTTTTTCGTGAAGAGTTCTAGTAAGCCAGCAGAGATTTTAGGAAAATTAAATCAACTGGCTGGTTTTGCCCCTGAGGAAGAAATTGAACTTTATGAGGTTTGTTTCACTTAATTTTGTAGCATTGTTGTGTCCTAACTCACACACACACACACATATATATACATACATGTAGACTATATATGTATGTTTACATTTACTATATAATTTGTTGCATTCTTTGCTATCGAACTTTAAGCAAACTTTATGTATGTATTTGTGCTAAAATTCAGGAAATTAAGTTTGAGCCTTGTATCATGTGCGAACACCTTGACAAGAAGACCTCATTTCGATTAAGTCAGGTAACTGTTGCTATATTGCATGCTTGGTCTATTGTAAGTATGTGTCTGGTGTAGGAATTAACATTTTGATGCTTTTCTAGGTATTTTTTAGTTAACCATTGGTTGCTTTCCTTTTCCAGATTGAAGATGGGGATATTATTTGCTTTCAGAAGTCTACTCCTCTTAAAAGTGAAGAAGAATGTAAATATCCTGATGTTCCTTCGTTTTTGGAATATGTACACAATCGCCAGGTACAAGCTGTCGAAACATTTAATTTGTTTATAGCTGTATTTTGTTGAATGTTAAACCTAACCATGTTGAATGATTTGATACTTTACAGGTTGTTCATTTCCGTTCTTTGGAGAAACCTAAGGAGGAGGATTTCAGTTTAGAATTGTAAGTACTTCCTGAACCATTGTCCCTCATAGTTGAACAGCCCATCATCGTTTTATTATTCAGTGGCCTAATTGTTTTTTTTTTCTTGTTATTTTTTAGGTCAAAGCAACACACTTACGATGATGTGGTGGAGAAGTTGGCTCGCCAAATTGGTTTGGATGATCCCACCAAAATCAGACTCACTGCACATAACTGCTATTCTCAGCAACCTAAGCCCCAACCAATTAAATTTCGGGGAGTAGAGCATTTAACTGATATGTTAGTTCATTACAATCAAGTAAGTGGCACTTTGTTGACCTTCCTCTGTTTAATTTTCACTCTCATAAGCATCATGTGGTGTGGCTACTAATTATGCCTATTGTTTCCTTTTTCAGAGCTCTGATATTTTGTATTATGAAGTCTTGGACATCCCCCTGCCAGAATTGCAAGGCCTAAAAAATCTAAAAGTTGCTTTTCATCATGCTACAAAAGATGAGGTATGAGTGAGACTTTTTTTCAACACCTTCTGGCTATGGACGGCGATTACATCACTGTGCAGATCATAATCTTGAGTGATATGTTTACAGGTGGTGATTCACAATATTAGATTGCCCAAACAGAGCACTGTAGGGGATGTGATTAATGTACTTAAAACGAAGGTATGGTTTCTGTCAATCATATTGGAAATTTTATGTGTTTTCTTTTCGTTTTAGAGTTACTAGCCTGATGTATCTGTAGCACCGATGCAGTGCACTACATATTATATTACCTTTCATTAAAAATTTGTGTCCTTTTTCCTACAGGTTTTTGTACTTTAAGTCCTTAAAGCTGTCTATAATGGATTTCACTCAGCTTCCACTGATAATCATAACTTGAAAAAATATTTAGATGCTCAAATAATTATCTTTGCCTTCTTTAAAAGTTCAGTATAATAGATTTTACTCAATGGTGCACTTGAAACAGGTAGAACTGTCTCATCCAAACAGAACTCCGACTGCTTGAGGTTTTCTATCACAAGATCTACAAGGTAATTACTTGTATATCAGCTGTATTGGCGTGTAGGTAAATTTTTTTTGGGTCACTTTTCCCAGAAATGATATGCATCTAGCTTGGCCCCATTTGTAATGTTTGGCATGTTTTAAAGGATCTTATTGTATCAGAAATTATTCCCTCCAATTTAATGTATATAGTTTAGTCTGTAGTTGCACTCAGTTCCTTCTGTTTGATTTCAGATCTTCCCACATAGTGAGAAAATTGAGATCAGAAATTATTCCCTCCAATTTGATGTATATAGTTTAGTCTGTAGTTGCACTCAGTTCCTTCTGTTTGTTTTCAGATCTTCCCACAGTGTGAGAAAATTGAGATCAGAAGTTATTCCCTCCAATTTAATGTATATAGTTTAGTCTGTAGTCGCACTCAGTTCCTTCGGTTTGTTTTCAGATCTTCCCACATGGTGAGAAAATTGAGAATATAAATGACCAGTACTGGACTTTGCGTGCAGAGGAGGCAAGTTCCTTTCGCCCCCTTTTCTTTATTTAGTTTTATTTTGCGAAGTTTCTTTATTCAATTGAAAAATTTTAGACTGCGGATGTAGTTTTATGGGCATGATCTGTAATTAATTGGTTTTCCCTTTCTGGATTAGCATCCTTACTACTTTATAGGACTGAATTGGATTGATATTTTTTTACCAGTGCTCTTTATGCAGCTGACTTTTTGTTTTTCTTTGTTTCTTGTGCATCAGATTCCAGAAGAAGAGAAAAACTTGGGCCTCCATGATCGCTTGATTCATGTTTACCACTTTACAAAGGACACTGCACAGAACCAGATGGTATGGGAAATTTTAATAAAAAATTTTGAAAGTGGAATTTTCGCTTATTAATTGATATTTTCTTGGTAGAACCATTTGATTACTATTTCAGTTAAAGATGAAGAGTGATTCATTCAAAACTTTTAAGATTTTAATAACAATGTTGTTCTTTGTACATTTCAACAGCAAGTACAAAATTTTGGGGAACCTTTCTTCTTGGTCATCCATGAAGGTGAAACTTTAGCTGAAGTTAAAGAACGGATACAAAAGAAATTGCAGGTCCCCGATGAGGAGTTCACCAAGGTACTTGATCCACACCTTATATACATTCAAACATTGCTGGAGGAAAAGATTTGTTTTACGGCTAGAATTAATAGTTCTTTATTTTGTTCCTCATCTATTTCCCTTGTGGTTGTGCAGTGGAAGTTTGCATTCTTGTCACTTGGTCGTCCAGAGTACTTACAGGATTCTGATGTTGTTTCCAGCCGTTTTCAGGTATGTCTATGGTCTATTGTAATTTTGCGCTTATGGATATTGCCGTTATTGCTTTGCCGGTTCTTTAATTCCACTGTTATGGTTTTTGTTTTTTCTCAGAGAAGAGATGTTTATGGTGCATGGGAGCAGTACCTTGGGTTGGAGCACTCTGATAATGCTCCTAAGAGAGCTTATGCAGCAAATCAGGTAAGTGCTGCCTCTTGGTGTTATACAAATTTCACATTCTTATGCCAAAATAGTGTTATCAAATAAATGGATACCTCCCGTTTCTTGGTTTTGATTCACCTCACAATATTTTGCAGAACCGTCACACATATGAGAAGCCGGTTAAAATATACAACTAATAAGAGCTGATGGTCCTCGACTGGTGCATCAGCTTGTACTTAGCATCCCTCAGTGCCACGGAGGCAGTCGGAAAATAGCCAGGATGCAAACGAGATGTAGCTCATATAGGGGTGATTTGGTCAGCAATCGATTGTTGTCGTTTGGGATCAAATATTCATTCACGTGGTTGGGGAAGGGGAAGATCATCTCCCCCTGCTAGAGATGTGCTCTGTTTCTGTTGTTTGTTTTCTTTACCTCCTTATTGAAGGCACCGCCTTGCTTTCGGAGGTTGGTTGCTTTCCTTATACAGCTCCGTTGTAGTTTTAGCAGAGTACATAAGGAGATTTTGAGGGCATGTATATCGGGTACAGTTGGCTGCATTTGCATGTAGGATTGTTCCGTAATATTATTTTTCATGTTCAATTAATTTTCTCTCATTTTCGTGAAGGCCTTGGGAAACAAAAAACTGCGAAACGGGTTTGTATTAGCATGGTTGGCATGTTCAGAATTCTGGCTCTCAGATTGTATAAGATTTACGATTTCACATTGGCGTGTTTGTATGTATCGATCTGTTTATTTTCCGTTTTACAGTTCATCTATGCAGTGTTTGACGTGTTGCTTTACATACCAAAGTAAATGAGCACGCGTATTTCATCTTTTATACAACGCCAAAACAAATTTATATCAGGTTAGGATCAATCCACTAGTCATAGCAGGCAATGCCTATAGGGACAGTTGAGGTTACGATTACTTAACGGATATACAGGTACATGGTTATAGCTCTTAACAGTTGTACGGGTGCATGGTTATAGCTCTTTAACGGTTATAGATAATTAATTGCGGTTGCCCGCTACCATACCCATTGCCCATCCCTACATGCCCATATGGGGAATAACCCGAAGAAAGGAGATGAGAAGATGGATGTACAAAGAAAATTAATTCAATTGAGTGAGTTTCCAGGAGTGTCCAAAGACGAGAATTGGGAGTAAACGGAACCGCTCGTTAAAGAAATGCGGGTGCAGGACCAGTAAGTAAAATGTACTAGTATGTTAATGCTCTCTCACCATCACTAACACAAAAAGTGAAAACCAAAAACTAAAAATGAAACGGTTCTCAGACGGGCCTTAAAAAGAAATTAAACAACTAATCCGCCGATTCCTTGCATAATTGCGTAAACGGCTCACCCAGTTCTGTCAGCAAGATTGCTGGCGTTTTTTTCCCCCTTTCCATTGGACTACATTCGTGTGTATGAACTCCATCTGATATAATACACATCTCATTACAAAACTCGGTATGAGATTAAACCATTTACGGTCTCAACAACCAATCGATTCATGCGTACAAGCAGCAGCAAGTAAGATCTCGCTTTCGGCCCTATATCAATGAAACAGCACCAAATCAGGCCACTGAATTTGACATCTGTAAAAATCTACTTTTTGGAGTTACGAAAAGTAGTCGGATTGCCTCATGAAAGTTTGGTGGTAAAGAGATTTCAAATGAAATATGTGCGCATATGCCAACAAGTATGGATGCACAGAAGGAATGCTATAGTTCTTGCGTGAAATCATCCTACGAAGAAGTGAAAGAAAGAACTTGCCTAAGCCCAAGGATGAAATTTCATCTTGATGGAAGAAATTAGTCCCCCTCGCTTTCTGTTTCAGGCTTGAGTTAATCTTCTCGACAGCGGCAAGCAGGTCCTTAAAGTCGAGTTCAACACAACACAAATTATCAGAAATTGGAAACAAAATGAACAGAAAAATTGACATTATGCATAAACTATAAAGCAAATTGCGATAATTATCGAGGATTGATGTATTCATTTAAGACTAAAACTCGTAAGTTTCTACATGCACATGAAAGCACGGTCAGTTTGTCAGCAACTCACCACGGATCTTATTCTACCCTAATGTCATTCTTATTTCCTTTCATTTTTCTTGCTCGATGAAGACACAGCAAGAGCTAGATGAATATATGAAGACACTATATCGAAATCATCTGGGTTACACAGTGCATCATACATACTCATGAACTCGATGAACCATGCCTAAATCTGCTATGCAACATCCTCAAATAATGTTTCAACACCTGAAGATGAACAATGACAACACTGAGATCTCTCGTGCTCTATCACCTTTGGGGTTGCTAAAGTCGAAATCTTTAGGATATCATTCTTAACACTCAAGCACAATTAACACTGAAAGTAAATCTTATGAGCTGAAACTGTAAAATTCGATATCCAACATCTTACAGCTTTCGGAATGATATAAATTCCTATCATTATCTTCTTGTCTTTTCTTAAAAAACTTCATTTAGTCCATTCCTAAGATAGATATACCTCTCTATATTTTATCAACGTGGGGATTCCAAATGCGGACAGGATGCATTACTTGCAAAAAACACAAGAATGCAATATCAAGAAACATGTAGCAATTTCATACCTCCCAAGGTGCCAAACTTTTCATGTAGGAAGGAAGGCTCTCGTAATCATCCCGGGACACCTTTACAAGAGGCAAAGGAAGTTCAGCTAGCTTTGGTTTATCCTCAACTTCACCTACATTAGCAATGCCGACATCAATGGGCAATACTCGCAAGATGTTGTTCCAAGCTAAATCGATGGTTTTCAATGGAAACATACTATAAAAGACACAGTTAAATACCAAAATCAGATAGCAATCTATCTCCCGAAGCTCCTGAGGTCTTCGTGGAAGGATCATATGACCCCTTTAAGGATTTCAACACATGCATAGATACATCAGTGTCCTCATTTTTATCATTTGCTGCAAGATAATGAGTTATAGAACTGAAAATGTCAATTGCAAAGACGAAAATTAAACAGAAACTACGAAGATAAAGAAACCGAAATTCAAGCATTGTGAACTAGAAATCACAAACAAACAGAGATTTAGGGTTTTGACTTCAAATTTCTCACCTAAAGATGCAAGAGATGCATCCGAAAGCCCAAGCTTCTTCAAACTCAGAGACTCATCCAATCTAATCGAAACACTAAGAAAACACAAATCGAAATTCCAATTCCCAATTTTATAAATTTCAATTTTCAATTCTTAAATAAGGATACAAATCTTCTTCTTCATCAATGACAGGTGCATCGAATCCGTCCTCCTCATCAACCGGCGTCGATGTAAAATCTTCATCGTCGTCCATCTCAAGTTCTGCAATAAAACCATAACTAATTAGAAATTATGAAAAATTACAATCTAAAGGCGTGTTTGGCTGGCTAGAAAATTAGTACCGGCGACGGAGGAGGGGGAGAGACGATGTTGGAGGTGGAGGAGGCGGGTTTGGTTGTCCTTGTAGACCTCGGAGCAGTGTCCCAAGAGCTCCTCGAAGGAGACGGTGCCGAACGACATCGTTTCGAGGAGGTTGAGTTGGGTGCTGGCGGCGGAGACGCGGCGGTTGAGTGATTGGAGGAAGGTGGACGACGCCGTATCCAGAGGGATGGGGCGGCGGTCGACGGAAGTTTTGAGGGCGTCGCAGCTGCTCTGGAGGTGGTTGCAGAAGGACGCCACGCCCTTGCACAAGCTCCGAATCGATTCCTCCATCCCTCTCTAGTTCTCAACTCCTGTTTGGCTCCCTTATATTTCATTTCGAATTAAATGGGCGGGAAGTAAATGTAGTAGTGGTTATAAAGTTTTATAGGGTATGTCGTATTAACCAGCGCCTGTAGCTCAGTGGATAGAGCGTCTGTTTCCTAAGCAGAAGGCCGTAGGTTCGACCCCTACCTGGCGCGAACTAATTTTTATTTTCCCTTTTTTTTAGCTTTTTATGCCATTTTTTACAAACAAGTTATGTCGTACGGTGATACCACGTCAACAGCCGACAACACACACAAATACTAAAACACATTCATGTGATTTTTTACAAACAATTTATGTCGTACGGTGATACTACGTGGCCTTTCGACCACACACACACACTAAAACACACATCATTCGCCTTTTTACCCATTTACAAGCGTTCGAACAAACCGAAAAATCTTTCTAGTTTATTGTAACTTTAGAAATAGGTAATTGGATTAGATTTGCTATGCTGATTAGTGTTTTCCTCTGGATCAACTACGGCTCGTAGTGGAAGTATTTTTTTAAATGACTGAAAACATTTTTAAAGAATATTTTTAAGCTCCAAAAGCACTTTGAAATGTTTCGTGCAAAAAACACCAATTATGTGTTTCTCGCAAGAGTCCCCGTCTTTATAGTTTACACTAGGATGTTCAAGGAGTTGTTATTTCTGGCAAGCATCACATCATTTTTTTACACTGAGCTATAATCCATATGGACACAGATATCACAAGAAACCATCCCTTTCATTTCTGTATGTTCAAGTAATTGTGCTACTGCCATAATTAAAAGGAATTAAATTTCCATATTACGCTCATCATCCGTTCATGCAATAAAACCTCATGGCCAGTGTTCGGGCAAAGATTTCTCTGAAGAAGGTTCCTTGGACCTCAGCACAGCTCCCCAAGGGATTGACACTTTATACGTGTAATCGGGCTCTTACTTGTTGATGTGCTACAAGAAGAGAACAAAGTTAGTTCTAAAATGTGCCTTTGTGGGGCCTTAGGTATAGGTCTTAAGGTTCGCAATCAAAACCTGGCATCTCAGTATAATGCTAAACAAAACAATCTTTAAACTCGTGTAGAAGACTGACTATCTTTGCCCGATCTTTAGCTTCCAACAGGCCACTGATCTGTATAGGCCTTGGATCTTCCTTAGTTCCCAAATCAATGGTTTCTAAGGGATCTTGCACCTCTGGTGGTGGCTTGTCAGGTTCTGCACACCAAAATTCAACCAGCTCTGGACTATCAGGCGTGTCTTCGGGCCAATCCAAGTCATATATACATTCAGCCATTTGTATAGCTGCTTCCAACTCCTTCCTAAAAAACTTTTTTTCACCCTTGTTCTAGCTGCTTGAAGCTTATTCCTTCCATTTATCTTCTTCTTTGGCCGAGCTTTCCCTTTCTTGTTTTCTCTCTCCCATACACCAACAGTCTTTTGATTAAGGACCTTATTGCAACTACTTGGTCCTTTCTTCTTTATTCTGACATTACTGATGTTGGGAAGTTGGGATAATTTGGGGTATATCCCATTCCTCCTTTGTGAGAAACAATCCTTGTTCCAAGAGCTTTTGTGTCGTTACCTTAGCCGAGCGGTCGTTCTCATCAGCTCTTAAGCACTGGATAATCCCAACATTGGGATTGTAGAAACTAACTTCTGCAACATTGGTTGTAGGAAGGAAAGGTCGTGACTCGGCCTCCACCATTTTCCAAAATCCTGGTCTCATAATCCCTTCCTCGTGGTAAACAGCTACTTGTTGACGCAAAGTGGATGGTATAGAGAGACTCTGATGAATTCAATCTCTACCAAGCAAAGCTCTATAAGTAGAACTATTGTCCACCACAAAGAAAGCTAACATGATTTGCTTGGAATCCAAGTCAACCTCCAAAGGCAATATTCCATAAGTTCTAGTAATGGCTTCAGAAAAGATAAAGACTAAGATCTTTTTCAATTCTTCCTAATTTCTTCATCTGTTTTAATGGTATTACATTAACCGCAGCTTCTCCATCAATTAAGATCCTCTTGAAGGGTACTCTCTCCAAATTAGCAGTTACATATATGGGCTTGAAATGGTTAGCTAGGGCTAAACTCGGGCTGCTGAAGATTATCTTATCTGAATGCACCGTTTCAGACTTTTTCTTTGCAAGCTCGGGCAAGTCTGTTCTGCCCAATTCTCCTCTTCCTGCTTCCTCAATACTAACATGTGCCATTATAGGTTTGGTTGCCAAGTAATCACCTTCCATCGTGGCAGGTTGATCAGGCTCAGCTCAAAACATGGCACATAGAACATATATCATGTTTACGTGGAAGTTGCTAGGTTCAGGTAAATCCTCCTTCTTGCCCCAAATGTGGTCTATGAATTCATCTAACCAGGCATGTGCTTCTTTTAAGAACATTAGCTCAGGCAACTTTTCTTCTCGAGTTATACCAAAGTCATGCACCTGCTCTGAGACTTTGCAAAGAGTATCAACCAACAACGGTGAGGGCATTCTCTCTTCAGGCGAGATAGTTCCAAAACAAATTGGTTCTGGGCTCCATTTTAGGGTAGGCATCATTACCATATCCTTTTGAGATCTCCTCAAGATTCTGTATTTTCTCGGATGTGAGCTTTGTGGCACATGATTTCCTTCTCCTTCAGTCTTGTTATTAGCCTTTTCTACCTCATTCTTGTTTCTCCAATAAAGTTGATTTCTTCCCTCATAAGGTACTTTCTCAAACTTCACATTTTCAGAGGTTTCTGATGTAGTAGGAACTTTCAGTGAGTTCATATGAGCTTTGTGCTACCTCTGGACTCTCCTAATCATAGAAGCTCATATTTCCTTGATAGGTCTCCCATCATTTCCAACTACTTACCATTTCCACCTAAGTCGGGCAGAATCCTTCTTGGTGACTGGGGATACTAAGGTCCTTGTTTTTCCCTTCATCCTGACACTACCACCTTCATAACTTGGCTCGGAAGGCCTAACATCCACCCTTCTTGGTATTTTGGTTTATTTATCTTCCACCTCTTTTGAGGCTTTGTGGTTTCTGAATACCTCAGACAAGTTTTTTGGCTCAGAATCTCCTTCTAACCTTTGGAAAACATTTCTGGAGGTCTCATTCTCAGCTACCTGCATGATGCTTCTGCAAGTTTCTTGCTCTTCTTTCTCTCTTTTTTCTGATCAATTCTTGATCAATAATAGCTCCTAATGCTAGCAATTCTAGCTCACATTCACATTGACACTTGTTACACAATACCAACCTTTTAATTATAGATGCTTTGGGTTTCTCAGGCAACTTGATAGTTCCTTCTGTTGGTCTATCAACTTGCATTATTTCTACTTTCACATCCTAAATGGCTTTTCCCTTCTATTTCTCAGCCCAAGTCAGGTTGATCATGTTTATTTGGGCTTTTGGGAAGGGATATGTATTAATCATCATATTAGCTTGGGGTTTCTCCAAGAACAATTTCCCCTTGACTATGAGGTCTTGTATCCAATCCTTGAATTAGACACAGTTAGTTATGAATGGTTGAAGGTATAGTGCAGCTTGCAATACTTTTTTCCTCTTAATTCTTCTAACTTATGCATTTTCTTGGTGTTGTCAGGTATAATTACTCTTGCACGCACCAACTCTTCATAGATTTCTGAGGCCTTGGTTAAATCAAAAGAATAACTTTGTTATTTAAGGGACTTCATAGGGACAAACCCACCATCATTCATCACCACATTTTGATCCTTGACTGGCTGGACTAAACCCTTCACTGTTAAAGGTTTAAAATGGGTGTTCATCTCTGCTCTCAATTCCCTCTCCTCCATGACCATCACTTTCTTCTGGCTCTGCTCCTTCAAAATCTACTTGGTGAATTGCAACTTTATTTTTGTAGAAAGGAGGAACCTTGTATGAGTGTTTCACTTGTTGTTCTTCAATCAACAGCTTCTCATACTTTGTGGCAGCAATCACCAACTCTTGCAATTCACTAAATTGTACCTCATAAAACTTTTTCCTTAAAGACAGCCTTAATGCCTTCTGAGCAATGGATATAAGCTAGGCATGATTAATAGGGGATTGGCACCGCATCCTTATCTTTCTAAACCTCATTATGAAATCGTCTGTAGACTCATGCTTATATTGCTTCACCTCCACTAGATCATTGATAGTCATCTCGGGCTCTACCTATAAAACTGTTCATGGAAAGCCATCTCCATTTGCCCCCAGTTGGCAATAGAATTATGGGGCAACAAAGAGTACCACTGAAATGCTAGACCAACTAACGAGTTCCCAAACAATCTTAAGTTATAATTAGGATTGTCTTCAAATGCCACGCATTGGTTGGAGAACTTGAAAATGTGATCTCTAGATGACACACTGCCATGTTCTCCACTAAAAGTGAGGAACGTGGGCATCTTAAAGTTAAGGGAAAAAGGATTTTGTTCATCAATATACTTAGGATATGACTTCTGGTAGGTGATCCTAAATAGTGGGCGAGCCTAAGGTTGGGCATTCTGGAGCACCATTCTTCTTAACTCGGCTAACTCCTATCTGAGTTGCTGGTTGACTGTATTATTAGGTGGCGTATGAGGAGCCACTTCGGGCTACGATCATTGCCCAAGAAAGTTTCCTTTTTCATTCGGGCTTCCTCCATCTAGCCCCTCCTCCCTTATTAGCCAATGGTGGTGGCCTATAAAGGAAAGGTTTGTCCATAATTGTGAGCTCACATTTCCTGCTGGATTCTCCAATTAAATAGGGCATCCCATACTTCTTCCTTTCTAGCTCGGTCTGCCCCATACTGTCTAGTAAAGATAATAATGGGTCGGGCAACACTGTCTCCAGGATTTCTTTTAGTATTGGCAGGCTAGCCTTAGACCTTACTTTCTCTTTTTCTTTTTCCTTCTCCTCCTCGAGTAAGGGAAATAGGTGAATAGCTGGTTCCTTCTCAAGACTTGACTCTTTCATCATTTCTCAAGCATAAATGTCTTTTGGAGTAGAGTACACTAGATCTAGTCTTCTATG